ATAATTGATTGCTGTAAATGAACACTTCTAGATCATATAAAACTCTCTTTTGAGGAGGGGAATTCTAGAATTCATCTATGAAAAATCAGAATGGACTTTCCAGTGATCATCTGATTTTCAGTTGTTTCTGAGTCAGAATAATGCAGCGTTTGCTTTTCAACAATGGCACCAAAAGCAAATAGTTTGCAGCATACTGTATTACTGTAATGTTTTCAAAGAGCATTCACATGAGAAATGTAAAGAACAATAAATGTCTGCAATTCTAGACCAAAAGTTATAACATTATTCTGGGTACCTCCACTGATCAAACTGTTTTTTTCACTTGTCAAGTTAGGCAAATACAGAAAGAATTCCAAACAATAGTCAATGTACTTATCATTGAAGTATTAAAAGCAGAAAAGGTTAATCATTTTACTGCAGATAAATCATATTGCAAATATTCATCTTCCATTACTTTCCCTTACTAGAAGAATAGATCTTTAAATTATACAGAAAGAAGCCAGATAGTGCTATGGCTTAATCAGAGCAGTAATTTAGGGTGTCTAAAGGGACACAGTGGCTCAGTGGCTAAGACACTAAGCTTGTTGATCAGAAATTCGGCAGTTCAGTGGTTCGAATCCCCAGCACCGTGTAACGGAGTGAGCTCCCGTTACTTGTCCCAGCTTCTGCCAACCTAGCAGTTCGAAAGCACGTAAAAAATGCAAGTAGAAAAATAGGGACCACTTTGGTGGGAAGGTAACAGCACCTTCGCCATTTAGTCATGCCGGCCACATGACCACAGAGATGCCTTCAGACAGAGATGAGCACCGCCTCCTAGAACCAGAAATGACTAGCACACATGGGCGGGGGAACCTTTACCTTATCAATTGAACAACAGATTGGCCTGTTCTCTGAAGACGATGCTTACCATAAATTTCTTCAAAAGCATTTGAAACAGAGGAACAATTAAAAACAAGTAAGTCCAGCCAGTTTGGGATCTGTTCTAAATCAAATTTTTCTAATCTGGCATTTTTTAGATATGGCGAGACCCCTGCCTTAGAATTCCCTACTAATCTGGTCTAAAGGAATGCGGGTTGGAATTTCTAGGAGTTACATGCTTAGAAGTTGGCAAGAATTTGTGAAAATTGATCTAGATAAACTTTTGTATTTAGACCACTTATGCAATACTAGCCTCTTCCTCAGAGTCTCTTCCCCAGAGTTGAAAGTGAGCTCTTGCATGGACTGTTCCAAGAAAGTATCTGGAAAATTAACAGCTGCCTTGTTGGTTTAATATTGGTAATAGTTTTGTCTCTTTTTAGAATCCTACCAATCCTTGAAACTACAGCAATTAGTGATGTTCTCTTCTCCCCATATCTTAATATGGGAATCTCAAGATACCACTGGCTGAATGTCAAATAATGAATAATTGAGGATAATGTTATTCCTTATTACAACTGCTGGGGAAAAAACAGCCGGAAAGATCTATTATTTTATTCAATGTGCATGCAATTTTCTCATTGGCATATTTTTAATATTTTCCATGTTATTGTTATTTATACTTTAAAAGATGACAATACAAATGAATCAAGTATGTTCAAAAAAAAATGTTCAAATCTAATAGACAAGCAAATCAATTTGTTTTAGTGACCGTCATTTCTTCATGTATCTCCAAATTGAGGCATCCAATTAAACCAATGCTTGAAGTCAGTCTTGATACTCCAAAGTAAATATTAGCATCACTCTATTTTTAACTACTACTATTGTGAATAAATGTCTATTGAGATTCTCAGCCATCCAGATCATGGTAGTCCCAAAGGTGCTTTTTCAAAAGGCAACTGGACTTTGTTTTGCTTGAAGACTTTTTGTAGTTAAGGACCATGCCTTGCCATTTAACTTCCTCTTTACAACATGTGCTGCTCTTTAATCAAACAGATGACATTTATAGTATGTGAACTCAGACCATCTTCATTATCATTTTTCAAATGTTGGATGGGAAAAGGTGATTTTGTATCAGAAATAGAAGACCCATACCATACGTTCAAGACAGGCTAATGCCCAACTTCAGCCAATGCACAATCTGCTTGTGCAATTTACTATGCAATATCAAATTTGGTGCTTTCTAGACACCATTATGACAATAATTTTCATAAACACCAGCAGTTAAACAATAGCTAGTGATAGGAGGCTGTAATATAAGACAAGAGGTCCATTGAGGAGTCACCACCTAGAACCTTTGGGAATGGATGAAACAAACAAAGAAATAAATAACTTCATGGACAATAGATAAACCAATGGGTATCAGTTTAGTGTAATGGTTAAGGCACCAGGCTAGAAGCTGAAAGCTGAGTTCTAGTAGGCTTTAGGTATGAAGACAACCAGAGATTTAAGCCAGTCACTTTCTCTCAGCCCTGGAAAAAAGACAGTAGCAAACTACTTCTGAAATCTTGTCAAGAAAACTGCAGGGACTAGTCCAGATGGTCACCAGGAGTCATTACCGACTCAAAGGCACATACACAACTTTACATAGATACATGTCATATATCTAAACAGAATCCTCCAGTTTTATAAGAAGTATTATTTTGTAAGCACAGCTTGATCAGACCAAAGGCGCATCAAGAGATGCCTTCTTTTGGCACTAAAACATGTACATGTAAGCAGATAAGGATGCCTCTATTACAGAAAATATTTGTTTCAATCCAAACTTACATAAATGGAGGGCTTCTACTATATGCCTCTTTTCAACTTTTGGGCAGTTCTCCCTACAATTGCAGCTCACCTATCATGTCATCCTAGGGCATTCCTAACTCTCCCAGGTAACTTTTCTGGAGGGCAGTAAAAGTTAACTTGAGAAAAAGAATAACCAGCCACTCATGTAAGTCTACATGTATTTTTAACTAATCTACTATTAGTTAATAATAATAATAACTTTGTCATTGTACAGGTATACACAGTATACCCATACAACGAAATTCACTTAACACCCAAAGACCAGGTCCAACCCACATAACAATCCCCAAACACACTCCCACCCACCACAATTCCCACCCCTAAACCACCCAAACATCCACACAACAGACCAAGTAATGCTTCCAACAGCTCACTGATTGTGGCCCTTTAGTTCACTGTTGAGTGCAATTATAGCTCTGGGATAAAAACTTTTTTTGGGGGGGATAAAATGTATTGGATAAAAAATTATCCAATACATTGCAAAGATTTGAGAAAGTAGGAAAAGGAAGGAACTTTAGGTATGTTCTCCACTTTTAAGTTACTTACAAAAGTGTTAGATGTGAAATTAAAAAAAACTTACAAGTTTTTGTATGCCTATTCCATATATATATATTATGTCAAGTGGTATTTACAACAGCCTTGTAAAGTAGTGCAAGGAACACACACACACAAGTGCTGCATGTTGTTTCATCTCTGTATGCATAAGGGATTTACAAGCAACCGCATCACTCCCAACTAGCGTAATAGCCTCTGGCAAGAGATCCGGAGTCCCTCAGCTTGCATATCCTTAATAAAGAGAAGCCACACTTTAGAAGCAGGAAGCTTCGAAGGAACAAACCCGGCAGGTCTACTAAACAAAGGGGGGTGGGGAGGAGGAAAAGAGGAGCCAATATGAAAGCCTCAATGAAAGCGCCAGGAAAATCAAATCGCAAGACCTGACAAGAGACGATTCAGAGCGATCCAACGTAGGCACTGTTCCCAGCTCAGCCGGACCCGCCAGCTTCCCCTCCACTCTGGAAGCTGCCAAAGAAACAGCGGAGCTCCCACCTTAACATTCTTTGCCATTTCTCTACACACCCCGCTCGCCTTCCTCTCCCCCCACCCCCAAGTCTTTGGAGGAGCATTGGCCAACCTGCGTGGCTCAAGAAACCGCCTCGGTGTCGCACGGAATGAACGAGACACCGGCGAGCTTCAGACACAAAGCAGCAGAAGTTCAAAGGCTGCGCTCGCCCAGTTTTTATGGCTTCATGGAAAGCAACCTTCCTCCCCACTTTCCTACCAGATTTAATCTTACCTACCGGTTTAAGGCGTGACCAGGTTAAGAGGCAAGGAAGTCGGGGGGGGGGGGGCAGGCGTGCTCCCAGGTGATCCTAGGACTACATCACACTTGGCCAATAAAATATTCTATTCTATTCTATTCTATAAATATAGAGAGCAATACGGCTTCCCTTCTCCAAAGTCCCGGAGAAAACGAACGTTTGAATCCAAACTCCCACGGGGAAAGTCTTTTCCAGAAAAACACAAGCAAGACGAATTTGATGCCCGTTTGCTATTTTAGACGCCGCTACCAAACCAAACGCCCCCCCTCCTCCTCCCCAAGACAAAATCGCTCCCAGTTGCTTCACCCAAGCGATCTGATATATATATATATATATATATATGGCGGGACCGCGCTACACACGGCATCCCGCACTGAAGTCCGCCGCCGAATCATAACAAAAGAAAGTGGACCGGAATCAAGTCACCGCCGACTTGAGAGATCGAGCGACCGCCGGCAATTCTCCTGGATGGGCTGCATTCTTTCAGACGGAACCTCCGCCAGACAAAAGCCCGGCGCTGAGCAACAATGACAACAACAGTCAAAATGGGTTAAAACGATAGTCTCTCTCTCTCCCTTCCTCCCTCCTTCCCCCGGCCGCCTTTTCAAAAAGCCCTTTGAGGTTTAACCGGTCGATGCCCCGGGGGGGTGGGGGGAGAGATTCGCTCGCTTACCCTTAAAAGAACGAGATGTTTCAACACTGGAGGACAGTCACCCACCCAGCAGCCCCCCCCCCCCAAAAAAAACAAAAAAACCTTTAGCGGTTCGAGTTTCGCCTCGGGTCTCCTTTTCCTTCTCCTCCCTTTCTCTCCAAACGCTCTATTAACAAAGATCGCTCAGTCAGGCGCAGCCCGGCTTCGTCCGAGCGCATTCCACAACCGAGCAAACCGACCCGCGAAAGGCGGCGGCCCCGCTTCCTCCCTCCGGATAAAACGGCATCGTCGCCCGCTCCCCTCCCCCCCCCATCCCGGCTTACCTTTCCTTCTTCCCGGCTCCTGGAAGCAGGAACACAAGAGCCCAGATGGAGGGCGGCTTTTCGCCTCTCTTTCTCTCTCTCTCTCTCTCTCTCTCTCTCTCTCCTTTCTTCCTGCCGAGTCCGGTGCAGACCGCGCTTCAGAGCCGGGCTTCAAAGCCGGAGAAGAATGAATCTCGGCTAAAGGCAGGAAAGACGCAGTCGGCAGCAGGAGAGGCAATGCGGCCGGAGTTCTAGGCGCCGGCCCGCGGGTCGTTCCGGGACCTTCTCTGGCCCATCGCGTGAAAAGAAGCCAAAAGAAGAAGAAGGAGAAGGAGAAGAAGAAGAAGAAGGAAGGCAGGAGAGGGAGGGGAGGCGGTGGGGCGGGGGCAGCCGGGAGAGCGGAACCCAGACGCTGGCTTTGTGCGAAGCGAGCCCGGGAAGGAAGGAAAGCGAGGGAAACGCCTCCAGAAAACAACGTTGCAGGCGAGGACACCGGGGGGGGGGGGGGGGGGGGGGGGGGCGTTGGAGATGTCTTCTAACGCCGCCGCTGCCCCGGCTTCTTCCCGACCCGCAGCCCAGAAACGGGCAGGAGGGATTATAACTTGGAGGGGTTGCGAGAGAAGTGAGCTCAGCCAGCGAAGGTCCACGCCCGCCCGCGGCCCAGACGCCGCCTCTCCCTCCCCCCCACTTTAATTTTTAATTTTTGACTCGCGCCCCGCAGTCCTCTCAGCGCCTCTCCGACGTAAGAAGGATCCGGCGCTCCAGAACGAAAGCCCGAGCGCTTCTTCCTCCTGACGGCCGGCCCCGCGGCACCCAGCGCTGGCGCGTCAGCGAGGGCTTCTCCCGCTCCCCTCCTCTTCCTTTGCCCCCGCCTCCCTCGGCTGCCCGCCTTTATTTCATTTGTAAGTCCTCGACCGCCTCAAAGAGAGAGAGAGAGAGAGAGAGAGAGAAGATGGCAGCAGCAGAACCGGAAGCAGCTTTTAAGAAAGGGGGAGGGGGAGGAGAGAGAAACCTCTCCCTCCTTCCTCCGTTATCCTTCGTCGCCTCCTCCTCCTCCTCCTCCCCTCCCACCTCCGGCTGGAGGTGACTGGGAGAGTTGAGTTGGAGTGAATGTATGACGTAGCCGTGACCCAAGCCGAGACGTCGGCGAATACAGACGTGGGGTGGTGTGTCTGTGGGCAGGCGGCTGCCGGAAAGCGGCGAAGGAAGCTGGCTTGGAAGCCGCCTTTGTCGATGCCGGTCGGGGACGCGCGTGGATGTTGCACTTGGATGACACCCCCATATTCCCCCTTGAGGCTGACGGGACGGCCTTCTCCTTGGAATCCTTAAAGACCCACCGCTCTCCCGGCTAAATCCGTACTCCCTCAGGAAGTCCCAAAGGTGCTTTTTCAGGAGGCAACTTGGACTTTCTCGTTTTTCTTCGAAGACGTTTCGCTTCTCATCCAAGAAGCTTCTTCAGCTCTGACTGGATGGTGGGGAATAGAAGGATTTATACTCCTTGCAGACAGCTGGTCGTTTGCAGGCTTTTTTTTAGAGGGTCCTTCAAGCTCTTGGAGGTTTATCTGTGTCCTCAGGGTCACTCCTTCAAGAAGTTGGGCCAGAATTTTGCAGCCCATCTGGGCTTGACTTCCAAGTTGACCTGTCTGACCTCGGAACAGGAGGGTCCGCTTGCATTTATCTTTATAGGTAAATATGGGCAGCCATTTGGTGCCCTGAGCTTCTTGTCTCACTTCCTGGAGTGGGTCAAAGGATGGCCCTGAAGGATGGAGGGAAGATCTGCTAACAAGGCAACAATCAGATAAAGGAAAATTGAGCCCAGGCTGGGAAAGTGGTCTATGGGAATGTCTCAGATAGCCCCACTCCCCTCTTAATTCTCATGAAGATAAAAGAGGGAGAAGGGAAGCATATTCAGACTTGCAACATTTAGTTACAGTAACTGCTTCTAATAAAAATAGCTTTAGATATGCACTGTGTTTGGTTTTTAGTCTGGTCTACCTTCTAAGGCTGACATATCCTCAACCTCCATAGAAGATTGGAAATAGCTACCTTACGGTTTTATGTTGATCGTGGTGTTGATAACATCTTCATTGCTCCTCCAGCTAAGCAATAGGAAAGCATAAAGAACACTATTCAATCACTCCCCACATTTTAGTCCTGTCTCTGTCCATTTTACTGGTGATTCCCCCCTCCCCCCCCCAAGCGCAGAAGGGGAGATACAAAACCACCAAGATACTTCCTCTTAGCTGCATTTACAGATCTGCAAAACACTCTGATTGACCTGCTATAGAAAGATGGGGGAGGCTGAGGACAGACAAGTAAGTCTCAAACCCTCTCATCATTAGGGAAATGAGCCTGTCCTGAGCCCCGTAGACATGCAGTATTCCTAATCACCTGGTGTACTTTCTGAATGCACCAGGTCTGAACCAGAAAGAATGGCTGAGCTGCAGAACAGAGATGATGACAATAGATTGTCCAGAGCTGAGGACCATGTGCAGAAATGTCCTCCATCAGTGGTGGGATTCAAGTAATTTAACAACCAGTTCTCTGCCCTAATGATTTCTTCCAACAACCAGTTTGCCAAACTGCTCAGAAAGTTAACAACTGGTTCTCCCGAAGTGGTGCAAACTGGCTGAATCCCACCACTGTCTCCATCCCATACAATTGTATACAACTTCCTAGGGATGGGAACCTCAGTCTGCCCAGTTGATGAATGACAATTCCCAGAATTCCTCAACCACTAACTGTTGATGCTCTGAACCACACTCTGGGAGTGTGGGTTCAGCAGCATCTAGAAGGCAACTTCTGCTGGCTGATTTGTTCCAAGGTTACTAAATCTTCCACTCCTGAGCTTTTGAAAAGAATTGTTGAGGGAGCAATTACTGAAAAAGTAAAAAAACTACCCTTTACCTGTAATTCAGGCACTTTCAGATTCTTCTTACCAGGTTAAATGGCATAGGAGGAGCTATAGGTCAGCATGTATTTGCTTTACATGCAGAAAGGCTCGTGTTTAGCCCCTGGCCTTGCAAGATAATTTGCATAAAACATTCCCAAGAAAACTTTAAGAGAAATTAAGCCTCAATTTAAAACACAGGTTATGCCCCAATACCTGTAGTACTCATTTAATGACTGCCTCCTTTATCAGCTGCTGGCAGTTAGATAGTAATGAAAAAGTAATTTTGTGACCATCCTTCCATTTATGACTTTCACAGATCTGCAAACTGAAGTAAGGTCATCATGATGTTTCACTTAGCAACTGTTCTGCATAACAGCTACGTTGCTGATCTCATCTGAGGTTGCTAAACAAGGACGACAGTGCTTGCATTGTGCTGAATCTGCCTAGCAATCATGTCTGAAAATGTTCTTTCCCCAAACGGAGCTTCCGTTTTCCTACCTTTGCAGAAGTTGTTTGATAGTGCATTTCAAAATTCTCTGTGCTAAAATTTTGAACTGGCTTGATGGTTGGAGATGCAGAATCTGCAGCTGTTGGTGGTGTTTTCTGGCTGCGCATTTTTCTATAATGCTCCTGCCTACAGTTCCCAGTCTGAGAAGCCCCGATGGGAATTCTCTCAAAGGGTTTGACTTCCCTTTGGATTTCAACAAGCCTGGGAAACCAGGAAGGCTGCAGAATACTAGGTTATTGTAGAGTGAAAGACAAGACAGTCATTTTCCCACACACTCCTTGGCAACCTTATGATTAAATAAGTATAAGACCTCCACACACCATCTGTAAGAACTTTAATGAAATTCTCTTCTAAAAACTTAACTGTATTTAGCAGCCAATGTGACTGGGTTAAATGGAAAGCTTTTTTGAGAACTGACCTAATATATTAGTTCAGACAGAGACTGAATTACAAACAGCATGTTATCAGAAGGAATAACAGACTTGCTAGATAGCTTTAGGCAATTCATTCTTTTCTTACCACAACTTCCCATCTGTTACATAGCAATAACAATTCCTGTATTATAACCTTGTGGTTATACGTGTGAGTTCTGCAATAACATATGAGAAATTCTCTGTTATTCATGGTTACGTAAATACTATTATTCATAGATGAACAAAAGACATTGTTTTTCTATGCATGTCTTCTAAGTTTATAGGGTGAGGCTAACTGTTCTTAGAATAGCATCTGCTCTTATGTTCCATCTAAGCATTTGCTTTCATATTCAAAGATTAGATCAAATGATATTGTCACATTATTTTTTAAAAAATAAATTTCATTAATTTTCTATAAATTACATTTCTTAGTGCTTGATAAAGATTGTGTTGTCTAGGTATTTAATTTGCTTAACAATACAAATGCCATTCTTATTCTCCACCCCTTTTTTTCCCCAACCACTGGTAAAATAAGTTCCAAGTTTGATAATATTCTGTGTCTTCTTTCTGCTTAATTTTCAATGTAAGTCTGTCCATTTATGCACAGTCTAGTATCTTCTTAATTATCTTTTCCTCTTGCGGGGTTTCTCCATCTTTCTAATAACTTCAGGTTTAACATCTACATGTTTCCCTGTTATCTTTTCTAGCCATCTATGTGTTTTTGCCCCAATTTTTTTTTGTTTTATCACAAATCCACCACATATGATAAAATGTGCCCATCTTTTGATTACATTTCCAACATTTGCTAGACATATTTTTAAACATTTTAGCTAACCTAGCAGGTGGTAAATGTCATATATAAAACATTGTCATGTTCTTATATATATATATCACTATTATTGAATTTATTGAGAAAGGATGGGCACAATTGCAGCTGCATGTATCTATTCTATGTCTTAATTCAGACTTTGACATCCCAATTCTTTTAATGGGAATTATGAATTGAGGTTAATGTTTTGAATGGCAAAGAATGAAAAACAATAAAGGAGAATATTTGTAGCTCAGGGTTGAAATGAGGGGTCCTGGATGCTCTTTGAGCTTGATTGTTTTCTTGCAGATGTTTCATTACCCAAACGAGGTAACATTACTAGTACTGGTGATGTTATCTAGTTTGAGTAATGAAATGTCTTCAAGAAAACAACCAAACTCAGAGACCATCAAGGATGAAAAATAGGAAGGCATTTTGTATGAGTGAAAACCATACAGGATTATTTTATTAAATATAACTTAGCCCAAACCTCCATGCTAAAATAGAACTAAAACATAAATATTCAACTGCTCTTGAGTTTGGCAGAACAACAACCAAGTATCAAATGTTATTAAATGCATATGCCCCATTCCTCTCCCCACAGTTTTAGTATTATTTATTAAGCCGCAATTGCAGGAATCCCATATGTTTCTCCACCTTCTGACTCCTGCTTTTGAAATACCACAAGAATCCACATGACAGAGCTTAAAAATCAGTGCCTGAAACAGTTATAATTGTTAGAAATGCTGTATGAAATAGCTATCATAATTGGAAATGTGCTATATGTCTTTATCAGTGGTTTTACAGATTTAAATTCAGTGAATGGTTTCTGATTCGGAATGTTACGGACATGCTGTGTAGTTTATTGCAATGCCTGATGATTCTCAGAACTGCCTTAACAAAAATGCCTTTCCTTCTCGTTTTAAGACTAGAATCCTATGCATATTTATGTAGCAGCAAATCTCTTTGAACTCAGTATACATAGAATAGGATTGTATGTGTGCTGTTCGCCTAAAGGAAATACCCTCTCTTCATGCTCCCAATAGATGTTTTTCTAGTATCTATTGTTAGGTGTTAACTCTTCAGTAAGAGATATTCCCAAAGGGGCAGCTGTATAAATTTCAGCAACAAGAAGCATGTGGTACCTTACTGAAGCATTATGATACGATTTCATGATCTTCGTTGACTTGATGAAATGGGTTCTAATGGATCCCATTATGGCCCCATTGGGTGGCAGTGACAGCACATGGAGACATCTAGAGGTCACTACACTGGGAAAGGGTTTTTTTTTTAAATTGAAACAAGGCTATTCTGTGTCTCTATATTAAGGTCAGATGGTGAGACCTCCAATTTGATTCTAAAGAACAAGGGATGATACCAACTGAAAACAATT